AATTATTTCTTGAAGGTCCTTGGTGACTTTATTGTAGTGCCACCCTTAAGGTATCTAGCGACGTCACACACGATGCGAGGTTCGAACTGAGGACATCCAAAAAGAAGTTTGAGTGTTGATGCCTGACAACCAAAGGCTATACCTGACATGAGTAGATATGTGTCCTAGAGTTCTGGTAAACACATGTTGGTTCTGAAATGATTGATGACTAACTGTGCTGAAGCAAAACTTCGTGAAATCCAAAACCGCTGATGGCCTGAACCTAGCCCACAGTCACAACCGCAAGCCAACCAACAAACCTTCGACACCCGAAAGCCCGCAAGGCACCTGACCCCAGAATTGAACCTGAAACTTCACATTCACAAGCCACGTAGCATTGTCAGCATAGTGGGGGTCTCCTGTCACCATGCCCTTACAACTTCAGCCAAAGGCATCTAAACCGCAAAGACCCTGAAACCCCTAATCCCCAATCAGCCTCAAACCGGAAACCCTACACCCCTCGACCAATTACACAGAAGATCCCCAAGCCCCAAAGCCCAAGCCCTTAGCGCGAGCAATGGTAAGCCTTAGTGTTTTCTTGCAGCCTCTAACTCTAGCGCTGCTTCAGCCCCTCACAACACCCTCCAAGCCCAAAGCTGGATGCAGCTTCTAACAACCCCCAGGACTAGTCGACAAAGTCTGGGGGCCCCTTGTCCTGACCCACTGGCCCAACGGGTCAAGCATCAATATAGTAGGTTCTTAATGGGTAGTTTGGCCTCACAAGAAAATCATACACCAGGACTTGTACCCTGGAAAACTGCAGTACCTCGCAACACCGTATTCTAATCATTCAGGCGCCTGTATGAACCCCTCATAGAACCCATCAATTATAAGGAACTCTAAATATTAAGGCGGCCCCTATACTAAACCCCATAGGCCCCCTATAGAAACTCCTACGATGCCAAGCCTCAGGTCGTTTCCGCGCCGGGCTCGCGATGCCCCGATCGACCGCCATGGCTAGTGAGCTGAACCTATTCCTTCAGCTTAGGCTTTGGGGCTCAGGGTTTAGGCTACAACCGATTCAATGTAGGGCCTATATGCCAAGTGCTCCGACCCCTATACTACATCGCTTAGGACTAGTTGCTTAGCGCTTCTGAGCTCCAGAGCCTTCGGCCATTTCTGCTGGTAAGGACCGTCGTGGGTTTTCGAGGGTTTAGGGCTTAGGGTTTAGGGGTTTAGGGTCTAGGCCTACAGGGTTTAGGGTTATGAAGCAAGCATCATCATAATTCGGATTTCGGTATCTCGGCCGTCACAGCCTTTTTGGACGTACTTCTGGGAGGCTTCTGTGCTGTCTTTGGGCCAAAGGGCTTGCGTCAGTACCGGGACGCGGGCTGTAAGATTGAGGCTGCTCGGCTTTTTCACATCAGGTAGGTAAGTTAGGCTTATAGGATCAAGTGGTTGCAAGACGGGTATGATGGATCTATCACACGAAACCGCAGCCCGAAATAAACATGAATGCCAGCATCAAGTCTACGAACAGCTACCAGTGGAGGGTCTCCTTCGGAGACCGGTTCAGGTACCGAAAAAAGCACCGCCACAGAACAGTGCGAATCAACAAGAAGGATTAGCTCGGACTAGCTTAAGACTGTTGCACACACAAGTGACGGGGCAAGTTCTAGCACATAGCCTGTGAGTAAAAGAATGGGGATGTGGGGTATCTTGATCAAACTACGACTGTGAAGGGGCGAACAGGGAAGCGAACACCACGGAACAAATACCCATTCCGACGCCTCGAGTACGCCTTGGCATGCTCGCTGTGACTTTGGGGGTGCAAGTGCCGGAGCATTCCTCATCCGTCTGCAATGGCTTTAATCACTAGGATCGGGTTTGCGGGGGGTACATTGTACCCCCAAGATGCCACAAGCAGCTCTTGAGATGTTCTGAACCTCGGGGAGCAGGCCTCAAGCCTAATCCCTAAGCTCTTCAACCCAATTTTAAATCTCCGAAACCCTAAACCCTATAAACCCCAAATCAACCTCTTGGGCTCCAGGGGCCTTGCAGCAATAATTTGAACCGGGTTTGGGGGTATCTTATACTCTAACTATAACGGTGGCTGTCTATCTACATCTGTAGGTAGGTAGGTAGGTAGGTAGGTAGGTAGGTAGGTAGGTAGGTAGGTAGGTAGGTAGGTAGAGAGGTAGATAGATAGACAGACAGATAGATAGATAGAGGCCAGAGAGACGGATATGTAAAAAAGAACAATAAAAGAACAAGCAAATACATAATCAAGAGTCCTTTTTACTAATTCACACCCTGTCTCCAGCCCTGAACACTAAGCATCCTGCTGTTTCCTGGCAAGGCGAAGTCGGCGCAGCGTGCACGAGCATGCGCTTATCAGCTTTGCCAGTTCCGGCGGGTGGCTTTCCGAAGCTAGCTTGTCGTGCAAGGCTAATTTGGGGACCTTAACCGTTAGAATGGGGTTTGGGTATATTGTACTTTTGTTACAATAAAGAACCCCAGGGGCTAATATTGGTGTTTGTTTAGGCTTCCATCGTATGTAAACCCAGCCGATGTGCGCAATTCTACCTTCCAAAGCAGTTCGGGAGTTGGGCGAGCATTTCAGCACAGATACCATGGTAAAGCTTATACCTGTTCAGGAAGCAAATTATGCAGCACCGTGTTTGAACATACTATTCTGCAGGTAGAATAAGGTTTCGAGGTATATATGGGCATATTAAACTCCTTCGGAATACTATGCTGGCCATATTTAGCAATGATTCCGACGCCTAATGTAAGAACCGGATTAAGAGACCTGGCCCTATAACCCCAAAATAGTAGGATCTGGCCCTATAACCCCAAAATAGTAGGATCTGGCCCTATAACCCTAAAATAGTAGGATCTTTATAAAGAACCCGAATAAGGACCCTGGGTCTCTGAATCACCTACAATATATTACCTGCTACAGGGACAACTCGGTGTCCAAAGCCAACAGGCCCCCTTCGATCCAGCCCCCGGGCTCAACGTCGGCCTCAGCTTTTTGCATGACGACCTCAGCTTCGAGTTTAGCGTCTAGGGTTAAGGGGTTTAGGGGTCGAAGTTTTGGATGTTTTGCATGAGTCATCATTCAGAAGCACCTATGAGTGTCTTTTCTGGCAGTTGGGGCTCTTCGGGCTTCTGAACCTGCGTCCTCGTCATGCTAACTTCGCAATTCCTGCTACGATGTTTCGGTGAGATACGAACTTCACACTGATCTGCTCGGTAGGGGCTAGAAGATCGGATTTTGGAATTTAGGGCTGCGGCTAAGCCTTATTCGGCTATTCAGGTTGTTGGATAGCATGGAGGTGCCTTTGAAACTTTGTGTGAACCAGGAAACCGGCGTATACGGAAGAACGACTTCCAGACGAGGATCCCCTGAAAATCGACCTGACGCAGCAAAGACTGCTTAGGGTTTAGGGCTTAGCGATCTTAAGCCCTGACTGCATGTACCTCGAGGTTGCCTCCCAACTTCTCGGGATACCTAGGGCCAAGTTCACATCTAGTCCCTCAGCCCTAAACCCTAAACCCTACATAGTGCTGGGGTTTGGAGGGCTCCGACCATGCACTTTAGTAACTTTAGGATAAGGATCCCAAGCAGATAGCCCTGTCAGGTTTATGAGGACGTGGCAGCCAGCACGTCGGATCCCATGTGCTCAGGGCTAACCTGTAACCCCCCAACCCTCCAAAATAACAGGCTATGGATCCTGCATTATGGGCTGAAGACCTGAGACAGTGGGGTTTTCGGATCCTCAGAGTCGATTTATGGCAAGGGCAGCCAAGGTGCAAGGACGCATTCCTTGGGACACGAAGCATCAGTGGGAAGGTTGAGAGCATTCTAGTCTTAGTACACAATCCCTCCTGATTAGTCGAGTACTCCTCCATATACCTACGCCTCCTAAGATTTCCAATCTCCCGACTGTTTCGCGAACTGCTCTCCTCTGCGTGCATGGAGCACCGCTTGTTGTAAAAGCTGCGACGACTCTCACAGCGACTAGGAAATAACTATTTTATGTGTAACATGCAGTTACCAACTATCATGGTCGCTGACATCACTGTAATCGTGTTTCGAGTTTAGCACTTAGGTTTGCGGTTCCTGAAACGTGGACCCACAATCCAGGAACTGGGAAATGCGATGGAAAGTGCATCTCATATTAGGGCGCAATCCCTCAACCCTACACACCCAAACCCCCAACCACCTTAGACCCTTCAACCCTAAACACTGAACTCGCAAATCCCCTAAACCCGTATTTCTACCCTTCAAGGAACCTGTATAAAAACCCGCTAGACCCTGAAACCTTAAACCCATTATTACAATACCCTTACCCACCTAAACCCCGAAACCCAAAGCCCCTTACTACAATGCCCTTATAGTATCCGTTATTGCAAGTAAATCCTCCCATGTAAAACCTTAACCAGGGGATCGTAAGACACCCTAAACCCCTAAACTCCTAAGTCGCTAACCCCCTAAATTACTCCTAAACCCCTACACCAAAATCCAAGACCCGAAACCCTAAACTCCTACGCCCCTAAGCCCCTAAACCCAAAGCCCAAAACCCTAAACCGCCTAAACCCCTAAACCCTTAAACCCGAAACCCTAAACTCCCAAGCCCCTAAGCCCCTAAGCCCGCCCCTAAACCCCCAAACCCCAAACCCCAAACCCTAAAACCCGAAACCGTGTCGGCTTCTCGGAATCTGGTACGACCACTTTTGATGATATAAATCCTGAATGACTTTAAGGACCCTAAGCTAGGGGAAGTATGGTCTATTCCTTATTGTGGGTAATGCAGGATTCATATCATCAACCGTCGGTTTACCCGTGGCTCCAATTTGTTCTACTGTTTCTGAGGGCTATACCCTAAATTTTTTAAGGGGTCAGAACCTAGTACTTCTCTGTAGGGTTTGGGGTTACAGGCTCAGGCCCTCCCCCAACACGACAAAACCTGCTCCCTATGCGTCTGTCCTGAAACAAGTCCCAGGGGCGCCACCGTAGCTGCGATCCCAACTCCTTCGCCCAATAAAATCCGCCGGAGAAGCGGCGTTGCCTTTCCTGGGAGGGGAACCCCAAACTGTGCTTGAAGGATCATGGGCCGGTGTTATAATTAGTATCAAAATTTTACGCGCCGCAATTTCGGCCATGAGGAGACTTGGAAGTATAAACCTCGAAGTTAGAGTCCGGCTGCAGAGTCCTGATTGCTTCGTTATCCACCGCCTTTCGCGAAAGATGTGCGCGGATGCCGCGGTCAAACTTCTGACGGGTGCGCTGGCCATAGAGGATCAACTCGCCGGGACTCGCCGCAAGATGGTGCCAGGAAAGCAATCAGAGCTCTACGAAAGGGGCCTAAATAATTACCAATACTACACCCCCGGGGCCGAAAGTTGTGAGCTACCGGGCCTTATATCATGTTACAGCCACTCGCGGAGGAGCGGAGTAAAGCTCACTTCTGGCAGGAGTCTGGGGTAAAAGGCTCGACTTCGTTGTTGAAGCTAGTGGGTCGAACTATCGGCCCGGTGCAGTATTCTTAAGGTTCCTTATTTTATCATTATGGTATAATCTACCCCGGCGTGCTTCGAGGCTGCTTCCTTTCAGGGGGTTTAGGGTCTATAGGGGTTTAGAGTTTAGGGTAGCATCACTCTGCTATGCTTGCAAATTTGAAAGCGATTCGGACCAGGGATCACATGGCCAGATTGAATCGAAGAAGTGTCTGGGTAATCCCCTAAACCCTAAACCCTGACCCCTAAACCCTAACCCCTAAACCCTAACCCCAAGACTTAAATCCGAAGCTCGGAGGCCTCAGAGGGTGGGATGAAGATAGGAATTAAGGGTCCCCTTTATCATGTAAGGACTCTTACTTGGGAATATCCCACCTACCTTAAGTTCCACCTTTTGAGGCCTCCGATAGGCTAACCGGCTAGACAAGACTGACGCCTCAGAAGGAAGCTAGCCCTTCACCTCCTGAGCCCCAGATTGACGAAAGGAGCACCCAAGTCCTACATCCTGATCTTTACCTACATAGTCTCCATTGAAGTTCCTTGTTTGGTTTAACCCTATTTTGTATTTAGGATCCTATAAGGTAACCCAAAGAAGGAACTACAATGGAGACTTTAGGCAAATCTTCATCGTCATTGTTGTTTCCCAACCCCGGCTCCGAAAACTTGAACCTTTATCCCAAACCCCGCAGCCAATGCAGCCCCAGCTTCAGGCGGTACAGACATCGCCCTGGCTGAACATCCAACTTTGCTGGTTACAGGCGCAGGGTAAGTTAGGTTCTGGGGCATCGGGTGCAGCGGTCTAGAGTTTGGGGCGTACGGTTCGTCAATTTTCGGATGTGGAGTTGCTGTAGCTCTGCGCCTGCGGTCGGATAAGGCTTTTTAGAGTGTCGTCACCTTTGGGAGTTGGTCCAAAAGCGATAGACCTAAACTACGCAGTGCGCTCTAACGCGCAAGGGGGTGTATAATGCACTGGATTTGAGGGGTTTGGATGTTGGGGAACCTTTTTGTATACATTGAAACTACCATTGTAAGCCCGACTGCATATAACTTTAGGTATAGGGACCCTACGAAAAAGTTGGGTTTGGGTAGTCTAAGGTACTCCCTAAACCCCAAGCTTCGCTCACCTAGAGTAGCCCGGTACCTCAACAAAAAGTTGTGTAGGGTTTGGGGGTTGAGGGTACACTTACCTTTTATAAGGTACCTTGGCCTAAACCCCAAACCCAATAAACCCTTGCTTACTCTACCCTAAACCCCTAAACCCAGAATCTTAAAATTTCCTAAACCCTAAACCCAGAATCTTAACATACCCTAAACCCTAAACCCCAAACCCAGAACCTTAAAGTTAAAAGGCCCTCGCCAGCCTGCTGAGCTGGTGATCTCCCAGGCGCCGGCTGTCTCCGACTTCCTGTGCCCATGGGGTCTCTGTCAGTTTAGGGTTTAGGGTTTTGGGTTTGGGGTTTAGGGTTTTGGCTTACTTCGCCTCGAGTTTTTCGAGTGCTTTAACCCTAAGGCTCAAAATAGCCCCAAAAGCCCGATGTAGTATGGTCTTCGGGCCCAAAAGCCTTAGAAGATGAGTCCTCAGGGCCTTTGGGTAAGGGTTTAGGGCTTTTAGAGTTTCGGGATGAAGCATTCAGGGGTTCCGGGCCTAGAGTTTGTGGTTCTTGACGGAGTTGCACTTTCAAAGAGCTTCGGGTCAACCTAACATCCTTATTTTGGGATTTGAAATTGAGTCCGTGCTTTGGAGGCGCTCAGAAGCCCGAAGTTTGCACAGTAGTTGTGGATTGCTGCACAAGCGGACTTGCATGTTACTAGTCGCAAGACTTCTGCGGTAGTGGCGAATGTGCATGCGATGTAGCCGCGAACGCATTTTCAGTTAGAATGGTGGTGGTGGTGGTGGTGGATGATGATGCATCGCGGTCGTCGGTGTGTTGGAAGTGGCGTTCGTCGTTGAAATGTCCTAGGACCCATGGACATCATGCTGAATTTGCAGTCTTTGGCAACTCAGTGCAGGGAAGCCTGCTGCGCATTGGACTTTACAAACACTTATGTCCTCCAACCCAAGTCCAACCCCGAAATTTCAACATCATTTAAATTTAAAGTATTGCTCCCCATGTTTCCGGCCACAGGTGAGTCGCCATAAGCTAGGGCTTCAAGCTCCAATAACATTGAGCTGGGGCACTCGTACTGAAGGCGTAAGCCGCCCTTTCCATCCAGGGCCCCGCGGCTGCGGTAGACGTGGCGGCCGTGGACGACGTCCTCTGACCCCAGAGACCCACAGACTCCACTTTGTCTTGAGGGTTTTTGTCTGCCAATCCTTTTACAATATTGCGCTTGAATCTATTAGAAGCAAATCAGGTGGCGTTTCGGCCCGGAAGCCTGTAGAATTCATGATTTCAATTTCACCGGTCTGCCCGGTTTCACCTAAACCCAAGGAAGACCGTGTGTGCATGAATCAATAAATATAACATACCTGTATGTGGTGCAGCGTCGCCCGACCCCCCGGCGCCACCCCATGGTATCGCCCCCTACCAACCCAATCATGCTTCTCCCGCCTTACGTGGGCTGCTTGAAACCCCTCGTCCCCCGTGGTGTGGTGGGTTTGGGGTCATCTAACCCCCCCTCCCCCCTGTGGTGTGGTGTGGTGCGGTGGTGAGTGGTGGGTTTAGGGTTTAGGGTTTGCACCGCACCCCCTCTGTGGTGTGGGTGGTGGGGTTGTTTAGGGTTTAGGTGTATAATGAGCAGCTGGGAGGCCGAAACTAAGGCCCATCCAGGTGAGTGTCGCCACTTTGGACACGTCACAAAGTTGCATAGCTTCAAAGTCACAACACTCACGAGGATCCCAGCTTCGGGGGGCCCATCCCTGCGACTGTTGGCACTTTGAGACAAAAGTGACGACCCCACGAGGATTTCGGGTGTATACCAAGGGGGGGTGATACCATGGGGGGCTGGGGGGGCTACCGACACCCGACACGGAACAATATATATATATATACACACTATATGTGTTTCTTGTTTATCATTTTCTCGCTACTATTATCGCTATAATTGCTCCTAATATTATTAGTATTACTACTATTATCGCTATTACGATTATTCTGTAAACCCGACACTCTGGCTTTCGTTTACAAAGCAGGAGCTGTGAGCATAGGGTAAAACAAGAAGTTCTACATGCTATAGGGACTATATGTATATAAGCCCTATAAACTTAAGACGTCCCGCCCATCCTCCGTCCGTCGGAAGGTTTCCGTTGCCCATCGAAACCTCAGGTCTCCGTCCATGCATCTACCATGCGGGCCATTTGGGGCCAAGAGGATGGAACAAGGGCTCCTGTAGCATAGGGCCCGAAGAAGTGGACTGGGGCTGCGCGACATGTTGCAACATTGAGGTGTTTCAGTGTAGTCTACTGAGGAAAGCTATGGAATAGCAGCACTAAGTCCGCCTTCCCACTTGCACACTCTATCTACACGCCATGGCACGAAACGAGGCCCGGTTTGCTCCAAGCATTTTGCTCCACTAGTCATATAAAGCCCTCCCGCACCCGCAGCCCCGACACCGACACCCAAAAACAAACCTTACCTCAATGCTGCTAGTCCAAACCTCAAAACCCTAAACCTTACTTACCCACTCCTAAACCCTAAACCCTACACCTTACTTACCCACTCCTAAACCCTGAACCCTAAACCTTACTCACCCACTCCTAATTAAACCCTAAACCCAAAACACCCTACATCCTAAGCCTTACTCACCCACTCCTAAACCCTAAACCCTATACACCCTACATCCTAAACCTTACTCACCCACTCCTAAACCCTAAACCCCATACCCTAAACCTTAAACCTTACTTACCCACTCCTAAACCCTAAACCCTACACCCTAAACCCTACTTACCCACTCCTTAACCCTAAACCATGAACACCCTAAACCCTAAACCCTATACCCTAAACCTTACTGACCCACTCCTAAACCCTAAACTTTCCTAAACCCTAAACACCCGAAACCCTACACCCTACTCCTAAACCCTAAACCCTAAACCCCACACCCTATGAACCCTAAGCCGCATCGAAGAGGCTGCACAGTGACGACTTCAGGGGGTGCGCCCTGTGCCAGGCGACAGGACTTCTTGTCAAAGGCGTTTTTGGGGGTCTTCGGAGTTTAAGGGTTCTAGGGGTTCTAGGGGTTTTAGGGGTTTTAGGGGTTTTAGGGTTTAGGGCTTTAGGGTTTAGGGCTTAGGGGTTTAGGGTTTCGGGTTTCGGGGGCTTCCACCAACAACTAAACCCCAGGACCGATGTATGAGGCTCTGGGCAGAGCACCCTGAGGCTTTTAATAGCAAGAGATAGGGTTTAGGGCCGTTTAGGGTTTAGGGTTTAGCTGGATTTTGGCACAACATGTTGAACACAGCCTTTCCTAGACGTCCCCCGCCCCCGTCAAGGTGCCTATCCAAGTACCGAAACTCTCAAGCTTCACCCGTGCCGAGTCTTACCAAAAGCAGGCAAGCCCAGCAACAGCCTCTTAAGACCTTTGGTCAAAAAACGAGCCGTTCCGCGTTTCACACCCTTTTGGGGGATGCGTTCAGACCGTGAGAGTCCCCCCGCCCCCGACGTGGCAAAACCTTGGGGTCTGTAGGCGGAATACACCTAATTCCTGATATGGATTTTACAGGGACGCTACCAAAAAAAGCAGGTTTTGGTTAGATTCAAGCAGGATGCAAGGCAATCGGATGTCATGCTTCGTTGGCCCCAAACCCTAAGCCGCAGGACTCTGAGTTTTCGGGTTCAGAGTTGGCGCAGCGTTTGCGAAAACAAACAGTTCAAGGGCCGTCCAGCAAGCACAGCTGGATCTCCCAAGCTCAAAGCGCGAAAACTCGACACGACACCCTGAATAACCCGCCCCTCAAGCCCTAAACACTAAACCCTAGACCCCCCGCAGAACCCTCGTCCTCCGAACTCCGACCCTTTGCTATTGCCTGCATCTCCTCTTCCTGCACACCCGGCGCCCCGGTCTCCATGGCCGCCGCAAACAGCCGAACTACTGCAGAAGCCCACCTAAAACTTTTCACCAACATAGGATCGGAGTACTTATAGTGTCCTTATACACCTCTTATAGTACTCATAGAAACCACCATAGATCCCTTAAAGGGGCCCTTCTAGCACCCTTCTAAAACCCCTATACCTCCACAGGACAGCCTGGCCCGGTTCCCTACGCGCCTACTTCCGGGGCCTAGGGCTTAGGCTAGAAGGCCTAGGGCTAGGGCTTTGAGGGCTTTGAGGGCTTAGGGCTTTTTGTGCTTTAGGGATCTGGGATTAGGGTTTTGGGGTTTGAGGGTTTAGGGGTTTAAAGCTTGGGGCTTAGGGTTTGGGGGTGCGGGGTTCGGGTATAGGCCGGCATAGGGATAAGGGCATCGCAGGGCTTGATGAGACGATTTAGGGAGTGTAAGGCTCTGGCGAGTTTCTCGCGTACATATACTTACTATTTATAGATGTTGCTGGTCTGCTCCGCTACTCAACTCTGTCTGTTCGATGCTGCTCAGCTGGGCACAAAGGGTTGATGGGAACTCTCATGTAAGCAGCCCTAAAGGCTAAACCCTAAGCCGCTGAACCCTAACCCCGAACCTCGAAACCATAAGCCCTACCTGTCGCCGAAAAGACCTACCTCTTTAGGGTTCTTTATTATGGTTTTTATATATAGTTCCTTAAAACGATGGGTCTTTTCGGTTACAGGTAAACAGAGCCAGTTCAAAGGGCCTCATCCCATGCCCGAGAAAGCCCCCTGTTGCACTCGAAACCCTTCGAGCTGTCAATACCCTAGACCCGAAACCCCTAACCCTAAAACCCCCAAACTCCCAAACCGGCGTCCGTCTACAGCAGACCCTAATTTAATCCCTGGAACTCTAAACCCCAGACCCTTAAAAGAAATCCAAAGCTTTGTTTCTGGCTGCTTTGTCCTTGCATCGTCCATGGGCCTTTGCCCTCAGGCACCAGCATGCGCCTCGGAAACTCGTCTCCAGGATCTGGCTCTATGTTTCACCCATGGGTCCCTTAAGTAGTTCCTTTTTATGGTTTATATGTAGAATCCTATAAGGTAATCCCCAAAAGGAACTACTCAGGGGCCTATGGGTAGTTCATAAAGGGCTAATTCTGAGGGTGTTCTAAGTTCTATAACCGGTAACTTACGTTTCGGGTGCATAAAGAGCCAGGTTCTTAACTGTGGGTCCTCGTGTTGGGGTGTCGTGCATTAGGGTCCTGGATCTTCGAGAAAGTCCCTCATCCTCTTCCGTCGCTCCTGCCGTCCCTTTTGGTAGCTTAAGTTGGGGTTTATGGCTCAAGGGCCTCAGAAGGTTTGAAGGTTCAGATCAGACGAACATCTATGGAATCTGGCTCGTCTTCCGTCGGGCACTTTGGGCAGGTGTCTGCAAAACCGTCTCTGGCATCACATAGGACCATCGTGAACGCTACACCTGTGGACGTGAACCTACATTTAAAATAACTACGTCCGTGCACATGATGAGAGATCTCTTGGCTTAGATGCCGCGCACTAGGCTGGGCCAGGTCACATCCCATATCAGATTGCGTTGCCGCGTCTGGCACTGCACTGTGTTGATCTGCACTAGCTGTGGGGGTGGGGCTGGGGTTGGGGTGGATGATGATGATGATGCTGATGATGATGATGTTGATGATGACGAAGATGATTATGATGATGATGCTGCTGATGATGATGGTGTTGATGATGAACATGGTGATGGTGATGATGATGATGATGATGATGATGATGTTGCTGATGATGAAGAAGAAGATGATGATGGTGATGAGGATGAGGATGATGATGGTACGATGACGCAGTGGTGCTGGCGTTACCTGTGCTGCTGGCCATGGTAGTGATGCTGGCGATGATGATGCTGTTGATGGCGATGAAGCTGACCGTGATGGGTATACGGTATAAGGCAGAAGTAAAATTAAGGCTGATTGGGATGAGCATGTCGGCCCAAAGAGACCAACATTGAAGCCTGCTAGAACTGTGTATGATTTGGCCGGGCGGCTGCGTTGTCAGAACATAGCTGGCGCCAAACGTGGATGCAGCTAGTCCTGTCTACTCTTCGCACATGGTCAACTGCGTCCCTTCTAACACTCTTCTTGCCAAGGTTGAGGATCTCACACTAAACAGAAGCAGAGCCCAAGAGTCGTTGAAGCCAAAGAAATGTGTCTCGGGATGCGGCGAAGAAGAAATTCACAGTCAATAAAAGCTACAGTAACTGCATTCTA